CAGGTGTATACTAGAACTATACCCCTTAATGTAGTCAAATGATGCTCAGTTGTTTAAAGAGCAGGTAGTATTCAAATCTTAATATTTTTTTTTCTTTTTCATTAAAGACTATGGCTCAAGAGTTCAAGCACCTTAAGAGAAAGTCATCCAAGACTTAGACACCACTCAGGAAGCAAAGGATATATTTTATCTTGAAAGCCTGAAACAAAACCTAAATGAATCCTAAAAACAGAAGTCTCAGAAAGAAATCTGAGTCATCGTCCTAGTTCTCAGTCACTTACGTTGAGAGTTAAACTGTCCAGGCTCACAAAGAACTCATATTTTAGACAGTCTAGAGCTAGGATCAGCACAGAATCTTCCAATCTTACATATATCATAATGTTCGATAATTGATTTTTAACTTTGCATCAGTGATGAGAATATGGAGACATCACCCAAAATTCCCACATTACCCAATTAAGAGCCAGGACTTGCAGATAGAGGAAGCTCTGCTACCCTTTGCAAGCAATGGAATCTAATGCCATGTAGTACACTTGCTTCCAAGTACAATTTTGGATTATTTAGGCATCTTTGGCATCTTCTCCACATATACTTTCTTCTTGAAGAGAGACATGGGATTTGAAAAATTAGAAAGTAATTCTGTTTTAAAGGCATAGTACTTATAAATTTGCAACAAAACCTGTGAAAAGGTAAACAAAAATGGAAAGGGATCTTGCCTCCCTGTGCCCAGCATATTGCTCATATGATTGAGATAGGTAGGAGACTATCCAGAAGTCAGGCCACATCAAAAACAAACTTACCAAAGTACCACCCCCCACCCCCCGCCGGAAAACTTCAGAAAGTATTATGTAAGGATTTTCCATGTTCAGAAACCCTCAAGTGACTTCAAATATGCATGACTATTTTAATATTTTTAAATATGCTTTGTAAAGAATTTTTCATCTGAAATATTTAGTGGCATAATTTGTAGAGACTATCATCTAAACAGAGAATTTAAAACAGGTTGCCCTGCCTAGGGGAAATTGATTTAATTAAGGGTCTGAGTATTAATCTAAATTTCATTTTATTTAGCAAATATTTGCTGAGAGTATGATGTAGCCAGGTATTACTGAGTGCATCAGCCCTTCCTGAATATTTCCCAAGAGCCACATGACACACAGAGGAAATCTCCTCATAGTGAAAGCTTGAGTGGTGTAGCAGACATAGAAATGCAAAGAAATCCAATATGAGTGTAATTATTTAAGAGGCTGAGGACACCTGGAAGGTTAAAGTCAGGCATTGCTTCATCAGAGGGGGTGGACAATGGCAGAGAATTCCTTTTCTCCACAGAAGACATTCTGAGTTCTCAGTATATGTGCAGTTCTTGTGTAAAATTCCAGCTGGTTGAAGTTCAGTGCAGATCACTGCCTTGGGTAGAGACAGAAAAGGGAGAGGAGGAAGCATTTTTCTGCCTGGTCCTTCCTCAAGGCAGGAAGCAGGAGGACAACTCCAAGGCTGGCTAAGAAGACTTTTACAGAACCAGAATCCAAGCAACCTGCATTTTGGTGAAAATAGAGAAATCTTTGATTTCTCCCAGTTCTTTATGTAGGGGTCCTCTTTTCTTTCACATGTAGAAAATTAAAGAAATCAGAGAAAAATATTCTCAAATTCAGTGCTCTGCTCTCACAGAAGGCAACACTGAGGCTTTTAGTCGGAAGCTATTTAGTGGCTTGTGAAAGCAACAGAGAGACAAAGAAATAGAGTGACAGAGCAGTGGATATTTCTCCAAGACTTTCCCACCAGTATTAATCCTTTCTGAATTAGTCCTTTGCTTTCAGTGTTAACAAGCCATTCAAAATTGTTCTCAAGCTTTCAGACACCTTCAAGGTATAAGTATTGAAACCATAATTCATATTCTTGGCAGAAACAATCAACAGGAGACTCAGTACATGTTAAAGCCAAAGGTCTTAGTGAATATAATATTGGAAGAAAAAGTAAATCCATTTTCCACAAGGCTGTCAATCCAGCCATGTAAAATGTTCTAAGGAGCACAAAGGGGTTGAAATACATAGAACAGTGTTCTCCAAATGGAGTCTACTGATACACAGAATCAGCTGCCCCTGCAGTGCAAATATTCAGGCCCCAGCCCAGCCCAACTGACCCACAGTTCTCAGGACAGGGCTTAAGTCATTCATGTGAGTCCATAGCACACTAAATTTGAGATTAATTAATTTATATAGATTAAGTTAAAGGCAAATAAAATCTCCATGATTTGAAGTGGAAAGTGTGGTGTGTAAGCATAACTCATGACCCAGATTGAACAATAAAAATGTTGGTCTGCATGATCAAATTACTGGCTCAAACTATAGTGTGTGTGTGTGTGTGTGTGTGAGAGAGAGAGAGAGAGAGAGAGAGAGAGAGTGTAAAATCCATTTCTGAAAAGGATTATACAGAATATATTTTCTCCTATAGAATTAGGAGTATCTAGTTAAACAAAAGGGTTTCATACACAGACATTTTAAATTTTATGTTTAATTTTACCCCTTGTGAGGTAGTTACAGTTATCCTATTTGTCACATGAGCAAATTGACATTCAGTGAGATTAGGGAATATGCCCAAGGCTTCCCAACAAATAAAGACAAGATGAGATTTGAGTGTTTGTCTGTCTAATCCCAAAGTCTGTGTAATTCTCACTGCAGGATATGACATATACAAATATGGCCAGTGCATATATTTGGATTATGGCATTTTGTCAGGTATGGTATTTGTTCAGGTATTTTTGTCATAAAATATGTAAAATATTGTTTAAGAAAAATAAGCTTCATTTTTGTAATGTAAATCAAAAGAACAAACAAATTATAAAAAATAAGAAAAAGAATTCAGCAGCTACAGTGTAGAAGGATTAGGAAAGCAGCAAATTCTATAGAAACCTGAGTATGTGCATACGCAGGTACTTGTGTGTGCATGGGTGTACATGTACATGTATATGGGCATGTGGGTGCTTGTAACTATAATGTGAATGTGCATATATATGCATATGTGAATGTGTGTATGTGCAATGTGTTTTCATGTGTGAAAAAATTTGGATTCTAAGAGTAAATGACAGAGCAGAGGCTTATAGTATCCATTTCAAGATCAGGGTTTTTTCCAACCTGGACTCACTAATCACTCATTGTATGAGGAAGGTCGGAAGGGGCTCAGGATATTCTTACTCATGTTTTGGGAAATAGTCTAGTCAAAGCCACACAGATCTGTGCTGCAGATCTGTGTCTAAAAATCAGACCATAACCTCCAGGCCCTTTCAATACCACTCTACACTGTGATTGCAGAAAACAAAGCACTCCATTGTCAGGCTGCCACTGCTGAATGCCCAGCGGAATCCTTGTGTTTATTTACTTATTCAATTTTTCATACATTTTTAAAACTAACATAAAAAATAATTCTTGTTCATTTCAGTTAACCACAAAATAAACTCCAAGTACAGGTAAAGCACCCAAATATCCACAGTTGGGCCTTTCACCAGGCGCATCTCCTCAGATGGTCCAAGGGGTAGGTCATTCTAATGAATCTGCTTGAGTACAAGTGTATGTCCAGGCATCAGCATCTCAAGAGATGCAGCTCAGCCATGCTCATGGAAGGAGGAGTTAAGATAAAACCCTGGACACTTCAATCTCACTTTTCTTCATTCATGATGAAGGATGACAATGAAATAAGTGTTCATATCCTTATTTCAGAGCCAATGAGTGTGTGTTCACAGAACATACAAAGGAGACTGAGGTGCTGGTTGATTCACCCCTAGGGCACACAGGGAGGTACATTCTACCCAGTTTATAATTTTTTCCAAAGAACAATGATCTCAGGAATCCCTACTTTCCATACACTTTGGGCACAGCGGTGTGCTGTTACTATAGAGGCAACTGAACTGGTAGAAGCACATAGATAGCTGAGCCTGCTGAGCCCTTCTCCTCAGCTGAAAAGGACATTTTAAAGTTCTATCTGATGCTACTGCTCAGTAGACCAACAACTACATATGATGGTAAAGCTCATACTATCTGATTTCCAGAGGCCTATGGATCTGAAAGTTTTCATTGCTACAAATTTCATACACTAAGCCTTAGTTTTTTAAAAATGATATATATATTCCAACTCTCATTATAAACTACGATCCTTTCAGACACCTTTATATCTGCTTCTTGGCCTGGATCAAAGCACACCCCACCCTGCATTTGGAAATACCATGGAACGGGCACCTAGGGAAGACAAGAGGCCTTGCCAGGCAGATCGTGCCCTCACAGAGGCATCCACCACCCTCAGTCTTATTGGTAACCAGGAACAAACACATATATGAGGTTTGCAGTCTTGTGACCAGAAAATTTAGAAGCTCTTTTGTTGCACATAGAGACAAAATGGACTTAGCCCTCATAAACTCCTTAGTAAAATCAACCAAGTAAGCAAACTTGATTGGCCTGCAGGAACTAGGATGGTTTAGCAGGGGCTCATAAAACTCTACCTCAGCTGCACCACCTGGGTGCCTGGCCACAGCCATTAAGCAGCAAGGATGTTTTTAATCAGCCTTGCTAATAACAAGGAAAGCAAAACTCCCTCTGCTATAAAATCAACAAAGTCAGGCTGCTAAATACTTACTTAGCATATTTTTTTTTATTTGCTCTCAGGGCCAATGGCTACCTGCAAAGATGAGTTAAACAAAATTTATACATATTAAAAGTAATGGTTCTTTAACTTCAGACAACAGTGGAACTATCTAAATGAAGAGTCTGGTAAAATACAGATTGTAGGAGCCCTGGTATTTTGATTCTTAATTCTGGAGAGGAAATGAAAATACTTTACATTTGTAAAACATTCCCAGATGATAGTGATGAAGCTGTTCTGAGGCCCACACACTAAAAATCCTCAGTAGCATGACATTAACACCACCATATTGGATATTAGCCCATGTCCTTCCAAATATCAGGCTTCTCTCACTCTGCTTCCCACCTTCCTCTTCTGTACTGCAGGGAGAGATGCTGATGCCAGCACATGTTCTGCTGCTCCTTCTACTGCTCCTTGGAGACCCAAGAACAGGCCTCTCCCACAAGTTCTACAAAGCTGGGCCTGTCTTCAGCTGCCTTAACACAGCCCTGTCCAAGGTTAAGAAGAACCAGATGGAGGATTTGCCCCTTCTAATGAAGAAGAGCTTCCACTACTTTCCCAGTCAAGACCTGTCTTCCAGAGAGCAGAAAGAGGAGGAAGAAGAAAATCTTGACAAGAACAAAAGGACTTTCTCTGGCTCTGGGGGTGGAGGTGGAGCTGGAAGCACCCGGTATAAGTACCTATTCCAATCACAGCACAAGGGGAAGCTGTACCAGGACAAGGGCAAAAGTGACCAACGCTCCAAGTTCACTCTGTCTCTCGATGTTCCCACTAACATCATGAACATCCTCTTTGACATTGCCAAGGCCAAGAACTTGCGAGCCAAGGCAGCTGCCAATGCTAACCTGATGGCCCAGATTGGGTGAAAGTAGTAAAAGCAAGGCCCAGCAGGAAAGCAGCACATCAAAGATAGAGTTCAAGGATAGAGGAAAAGGGCAAGGAGCTGGGCTGTGTCATCCAGCTAGTTTATGTTTGAAAAGATCAATCCAGATTCACAGGCTGTTTGACTGCTGAGCCCCTCTCATCTTTTCTTGTAACCAATCCAGTTTTTCTTCTCTGTACAAAGGCACAGAAATTCAGTATTGTTCGACAGTTGCAAGCATTAGAGGTTAATACCTTTCCCTGTATTCTATGTCTCCTTTATTGTTCCCCGTGGCAAGAGGCAAAGTTCATGCATTCCCCCTCCCCAGGACTTATCCCTTCTGGCCACATGTCTGAGAAGAGAGAGTTGAGGGTTCCCTTCCTCCATACACATCAACCCCTGCCATGAGGAGATGTGTTATTATCATCTTGAAAGCAAATCCCTCCCCTACTCTCTTATCCCCCATTAAAACAAATGGCTTCTCAAACTCCTGGCTTGTTCAGTTTTACTTTCTTCAAACTCTGAGCACTGAATGAACAGAAAAGACAAATGAGGAAAGGTCCCAGTAGGCCAGTTTCCCATCTCTCCCAGGAGAGGCCTGGTGTGGGAGGTTCTAGAAGTACCTGAGGGCTTGAGAGTCAGCTTCTGTCCTTCCTTCAAGAGCCATCATCTGCATGACCTAGACCTACCCAAGGGTCTGTTTCAGAATGGGCTTCCGGACTGAATGGGAGAGAGAACTTTTAACACTCCAACTTCTTCAGGTCTTGCGAGGAGATGGGGCACTAATTGCCTGCAAAATTTTTACTGAGTCCACACAGTTGTTCAGTGCTGGCTGGGGAGCTACAGCTGAAACTGACGGCTCAGGCAAGGTCTCTACTCTCTGCAAGTCAACAGTCTAAGTAAATAGACAAAACCAAATGTAAAAAAGAGTAAATTCCACTGGGTTATGTAAGGAAGAACTGCAAAGTGATGGCATTTAGTGTAAAAAATCATACATGTGTGCATATGTTCATATATATGATACATATTATATATTTTATATACAGTGGTCCCTTATCATGGAGGCCATATTCCAGACCCCCTGTAATGAGTGAAAATCAGTGAAGTAGTGACATTGTATTTATTTTAGTAGTTATATATATTTTAAGCCTTCATAAACCCTTCCCACACTCATAAACCTGTCCCACACTTTTAAAAACTTATAATTGTGCTTAACCATTTTCTAAACTCCTAAACCTACTAATTTTAACAACATGCATATACATATGGTACTGCAAAATCTCATGATATAGAAAAAAAATCCATGATAAATAATTTATATTAATATTTTATTAAAAACCCTGAAACGGTGAGTCTGCAAAAGTTGAGCCGTGAAATAGTGAGGGACTATTGTATTATATATAAGGAATGCAAATATGAGAATATTTTACTTGAACAGGATTCCACTAAGAATAGCTACTAGCAAGAATTCTAAAGGCCTCCCAACATCACAGCCCAAAGGTCAGGACAGAAAAGAGACTACAGTCTGACTCAGTTTTGCAAAATGACAAGTCAATAAATATAATGAAAGTCTTTATGATTAAAACACACACACACACACACACACACACACACACACACACACACACAACCACTCCCTGAGGCAACGTCAAAAGATGAATGAAAAGTTTGGAAAAATATTTAATACTCATATAATAGACAAATAGGATTTTGCCAAACATGTAAAGATCTACTAAAAAATGAGAGCAAGAACAAACCTCAGAAAAACAAGCAAAGATATAAACAGACCACACAAGCACACATGGACAAGCACAGTTATAAATGAAATTTAAATATAAGAATAGGCATTGAACTTCAGTCTAATAACTACACCAACACACAAATTTCTCACCTAGCACATCAGCAAATGTTCTTAAGTTAAACAGTGCCCTCCACTGGTGAAATCTGACTATATCCTCTCAGTGTTGGCTAGTAGAAGTAAAACCAAAGAGACACTTTGACGACTTATCAAAACTGCAGATTCAGTTTTACTTTAAGCTAGTAACCATGCTACTAGGTATCACTGGAAAGTTAAAATTTAAATTAAAAAATGTTACTTTGAAATTTTAATTGTTCCACATCTTTGGAGAAGAATCAATGCTCCAAAAAAGTGAAAATGCAACAGGTGTTTCCATCCTACAATACATGCTCCATGCAGAAGAAATAATTCTAGCCTAAGACTCTATGTGTCTCTGAGCAAATGCTATAATTTCCCTGAAGGCCAATATACCAGGAACCTGATAGGTGCTCTTTGAATATTATTTCATTTACTTCTTACAAGTATATTTGAAAGTACCTATTAGTTTTTCTATCTTAAAAATGGAACTTGAGACCAAAAGAAGTTAGGAAACATGTTTAAGGTCTCACTGCTAATAAGTGGCAAAGTCATATCTGTCTAGCTACAACCCTTTCTCATTCATCTATGAAAGGGTTGACAATTTTTACAGCAAGCATTAAAAGCACAGGTCTTCCTCACATCCCAGGGCTATAATGAGCCTCAAACTAACCATGAGTGGGAAAACAGCTGGAAAAGTGTCACACAGATATTGGGAGTTAATGTTATGTCCTCAGTAGGTGAATCTCGGATTTAGATAATTAAAGTGTGCAAAGCAATTAATAAAGTAGGAAGAGTAGGTCAAAACTAAAATCAACCAACAATGACTGGGAAATAGGCCCATTTGTTAAGACTAGCATTTTTCCCAAAATCTAAGATGAGATTTGAGAGAAGGCAGTGGTTCTTAGGCTCTGTTGAAAACATCAGCTATGTAGGAAAGGTGGAGATGGCCAAAGATATTTTTACCTGCTACTCCTCACTTCATTGTGAATCAGTTTTGTCAAGGTTAAAGAAGAGAACTGATTCATATCCTTGTTTTCTTCAAGGGAATAAAACCGTCAGAGAGGAAAGGGTAGATGCATGAGGAGGGAACAGCACCTCCAGCCACAACTCAATTTCATGGCAAATTTTTGTGACTAATGATTATTTTACCAGAACTGGAAAGTCCCTGAAATCAGTGAGTGATAGAACAGGCCCTTAATATACAGAAATTCAATATTGTGACTCTCAGAAGTTCTTGCTTTTAAATAATTTTTCATTTTTCTGAGACATAATTTTGAATTACTCTGTAAGGCAAATGTGAATTATCTGGTGAGCCATTTACTCAACAACCATATCCCCAAGGAACTCATATAGCTGTCTACTAATGATCATGTATGGCCAGTATCATTAGAG